TAGTAGTAGTAGTAGTAGTAGTAGTAGTAGTAGTAGTAGTAGTAGTAGTAGTATTTTAATTGTTATAGTATCCTTGTTAGCTTATTAATAAGTCGATCAAAATAGAACACAACATATTTTTTCTTTGGCTATATTTTTCTCTCTTTTTTCTTATAGCAAGAATGTTACCATATTTTTTTAAAGGTTAAAATGGCATTTAAATCCGCCCCATTTTCACTTGGTGAGGTAAGATTCAATGGTTTCCTCCAGGTCCTTACGTGGAGCAGTACGAGATCACACTGAAGTATTATGCCAATGTGTCCGATACCAAGGGTAATGAAGGATTCTGGACACTTATCTATAATCAGGTATGGCTGTTCACAATCAGTCTTCTCTACGTACCTGGTATAGAGATGATTGTTTATTCGCTTTCTTTATTTAAAAAACAACAACAAAACAACCCCCCCCCCCCCCCCCCCCCCAGTGGACTTCAAATCGATCTCTGCTTTTGATTTTAAAAGAATGTTTTCAAAAGACCTTGGTCCATCGGTTTTAGAAGGGGCTCCACTCTCCTATGAGGTCAACTGTTTTCCAAATATTGATACCCCCCCCCCTAACCGCCCCACCCATCCCCCATCCATTCCCTTCTTATAACATGAAACGGTTTGGTTGGGGGTTTTTTGGGGTTTTTTTTTGGGGGGGGGGAGGTTTAATGTGGCTCACTCACATTCAACTCTGAGCAGTCCCTGGTATGCTAAGGTTGAGACCCCTGCGATAAAAATTGCATTATCTCTGGCTCAGAAGTTGACGCCGTAGTTCATGATTGCTTGTGGCTATCATGAAATAGGTTATAATTAATATTAAGCGTGTCATCTTATTGAAATCAGGCGCTTGTCAAGGTAATGAATTCGAAGAAACCAACGTTTTTTCCGTACTTTTCTTCAAAATGTGCTCCATTCTGTATCCACAATGGCGCACTTAGCTCAGTTGATACCATGCTGTATTATGAAGCAGATAGCACTAGTTCAAATCTCTAATGGGGTGTTCTAAATTGGTTATTTTGGAAGGTGGTTTTCTTTTACTGCTCCCCTCCCATCTGGCTCGGTCCTTTCGGAGACGAACGTTAAATTCGAAGGTCCTACCTCATAACTTTACAGAGTTGAAAGGTGTGTTAAATCAACGGTACAAGGGTAATGTCTGTGTGTCTATTATACTGTGTAAATCGTTTACGCATCAATGAATACATCTAAGATCATTTTGGATTTAGGCTGCTGTTGGGTCAGCTCAGGTGAAACGAGAAAATGCATTGTAACGTAATGGCTTGAAGAAATATCCTTTTTGTGTGGGAACTGAACTTGCTTCTTCTGAAAGTAAAGTGAAGAGCACACCATATGATAACAAAATGATAACACCACAAGAGGTATTCAGTTCAATAAGACAGTAAAGTTGTGTTGTATAATATCTGTTGCAATGACTCTGCTCACAGGGCTTCGAAGTTGTCATCGACAAAAGAAAGTTCTTCGCCTTCTCCAAGTTCGTGGGTAGAAAGAGTTACTGTTCCGAGACATTGCCTGGATGGGCGCACAACATTGACGGAACAAACTGGGCGTGCTATGTTGGCCAGAAGTCTAAAGGAGAAAAGAAGATAAGATACTCGTCGAAAGGCAAAACCAGTCGGGAATTGTGAGTAAGGTTATAGATATCACGAAGCAGAGCTTATACTTTTGCGATGCTGGATTTAGCCCCCAAAACTTATACATCATTTAAGGCAAAGATATATAGTCTCAGAAATAGGTTTTTATTTTTTTAAGCGACTGAAATCTTACGAAGCTAGCAGTGTTTTACAAATTGTGTGCTAAAATGTGTGTTGATTACCATGAACTTGATGACGGCGAAAAAAAATATATCTTAAAAACAAATCATAATGTCTTTTTCTTGTCATTTTATGAAATATTGATAACACTAACCACTTTTACCATCCCCAGCATCACCCCTGAGTTCCAGGAGAACTTCGTGAGCGCCATCAACTCCGTGCAAAACTCATGGACAGCTCGCACCTATGACGAGTTCAACTACAAGACTTGGGCCTCTCTTATGCAGAAGACAGGTGGCCCCGTGGCAGACAAGAGCGGGTAAGTTTATTTGACACGTTTCTCATGTTTTTATAATCATTTTGTTTTCGAAATTTTAAACTGTTTTGCTTGTAGTGTGTTGCATGTGAACAGACATACAGTTGTTTGTACTCACTTACCAATAATGGAAATACACATTTCCCCTGAGAAGGTTTATTCGCAAATACGCAACAAGATGTAAAAAACAACAACTTTCCTTTAAAAGTTTCGGGTCTCTTTGTTTCCTTTGTCCGTCTATCTTATCGTCCCCGTATACCAGAAGGTTTGTTAATCCTTTTCTGCTACTCGACACTCACGTCTTTCTATTGAGTATAAACAAATGAGGTTATCGTTTAGCATTTCACTCTGTGAAAAGTGTTGATATTTTCCCCTCTCAATATGGATTTTGCTTTTTTTTCCCTGTCGCCATTCAGTCACCGGAGTGCTTTGTGTTCCCCCTTGAATGTTTGATTAGGACATTTAATGCTAGTAAGTAGCTTAAAGCTTCGCGCACTGGTATTCAAATTACAGAACTTAGTCTCAAGGCCGATGTACGCACATCCCAGGCAATCCGTTAAGTTTCTAAACTCAACTCCAACGTGTCACAGGTTAGCCAAAGCCCAGCCCACCACCCCCGAGCTGGAGGATCTGGTCAGCGACCTGCCCGCCAACTTCGATTGGAGAAATGTCAAGGGTCAGAACTACGTCAGTCCGGTCAGAGATCAAGGTAAAGCCAGCTCTGTTGTTTGGGAGAGGGGCGGGTAGGTAGAACAGAATGAAAATGGGGGGGGG